CAAGTCAGGACAGTCGGATGACAGCATTGTGCCTGGAACTGATGTAGGTTCTATAACCTGGGCAAGTGTATAGTATGTATGGCCACACTTACAATTTTGCTAGGAAAAAAAATAAAAAATAAAGGAAACAATTCCATTGAAGAAATCATATCTCTCCATTCCACCTTCCATTCAAATGGATCAAGAAGTACTTTCCAGAATAATAGTTGTTTTTTTGATCTAGGTGGGAAGGAATAAATGCAGAATCCTTTCTTCCCCATCTAGACAAACTCTGACTATGCTCATAGTGCTTCTCATCATGCACAATGATGCTTCACAATTAGCCTGGACACAGACCAACAAGATTTTCCAGTTCTAGAGCTCATGAAGTCAATGGTAGTTTGGGATCCCTGCAGTTCATAGCAACCAAGAGCTTTGACCTCTGTCAAGACACTGATATTTTTTTTTTTTCTGAACTGGAACAAAGCAGCTGCCACAAAACCTATGGGCAGCTGAAAACAGAATAAGAAAACAATCTATAATTGCAAAAGGAAAATCCTAAATACTACTCGATGTATCAGAAATAGGAAAAAAAAATCCAGAGAATGCCAGTACAATTTATTAATTACAGTTCCAGTACAGTAGAATCCATGGGAATTATTATAATTCTCTACAGCCAACAACAGGGAGAGGAGAACACAAGAATATGTAAGAGAGTAAGAAAATATTTGCATTTTCATATGTATTCAGATGGGTTCAGATGAGTGAGTTCAAATGGAAATATATTTTCAAAAAGCACAGAATATTCTGTAAAAGTCAAAGTTTCAAGTCAAAGACTGAACTTAAGGTCCACGTAGTTCTTTTAGCAAAGCTTACTAACCAAGAACAAGCATAATGAAGCAATTATGTACACAGTATTGCATATATAGTATTTTATGTGCATTAATCCAAGCATCCATGCATACATCCAAGCATACAGGTTAAAAAAATAGAAATATTATTAAGTAACAGATGAAAACACCAGCTGGGCACTGATTTTATTTTATTTCTTTCAGTTTGGTTAAGAGAAAGAACACTGTATGTATTAATTTCTAAAGGGAAATATAAAACTGGTGTTTACAATTCCAACAGCAATCAGGACTCAGGGATACCAAAGAAACAGCTATGCAAGCTGCAGTATGGGGAAAGGGAAGGCAGGAATACAATTCATTTAACCATGTTGACAACAGCAACAAAAAAGATCTTTTCTGTTGAGCTAGAAGGATGACAGCCTCCCTGATTAATTTTGTCCTTCTATTACCTTTCTTTCCCTGACAGAAGGTCCCGAGCTATCATTCCAGCTGATCGACTGCTTGATGTTCTGCATCAGAACTTGCAACAACCATTAGCATTTAAGAGGCCCTCAAATATCTTTGGTCAATCAATGTAAAACATGACCAAATATTAATTATACTGCATTTAGCCTACCTAAAATGTACTGAGCTCTGAAAAAAGATTGTATTTTACTAGTATTATTGATGTTCTGTTTTACAGTTCTCAAAGGCTAATGCAGTGATTTTAAAAACAGATTGAATGCTTGTACACAATACCACATCATTTTAAATGTTCCAGCTTTATCTTTTTGGAAAATGGATTCACCAAAAATATAGGTCTAAAAATATGCCCTCAATCACTTTAAAATTATTTAAAGAAGTATCTTGAAAAGTAGGTTATTACATACCATATTTCATATTACAAAACAAAACAAAAAACAACTCTGTAAGCACTACAAAAATCAGAACAGGAATACATAGGACTGTAGACAGATAAGGTTCAGCAGAGCAAAGCTTCATCTAACATATATGTTTACCCTGATAGTCTCTTTCTTCCTTTGCTATTTTTCCTTCTTCCTTCTATTTTTCATGTCAGAAAAATCACTCAAATACCAAAGCTGTATTTCTATGCCAGCATATTGTTATCTCTATATTTTGTACTTATCCTTATGGCAGACAGCAGTATTGCTTGTCTATGTATCATCATCATTATTTAAAAATGTAATGAAACTAGAAGATAACTTTATAATTAGGAGAATGGATTGTTGCTAAAATTAGGTATAACATTTTCAGAAATGTTTGATAACCAAACATCTCTGAAATTTAGCACCATTGTGCTCTGAGAGTGGCAACTGGAAAAAGGGATCACCTCTTCCCACCTTTGTACTAATTAGCTTTTGTTTAATGCCATCTAATCTCTGTGAGGATTTTGAGTTGTTTTGTATTTTATTTGGGCACAGGCACAGGTAATTAGCAGTTTAAATTAAGCCTTATTTCTTTTTCATATTTGCTAGTAATTCCAGGGAAAACATGCAAAATATGTGTTTCTTAAAACCATGCAGGTTAGGTAGTAATACTGAGTAACTATCCAAAATTATTCAGAACTGGATATCTGTTGTATTCAGTTGAATCTCATCAAAGGTGAGGGACACAGGCTGAATGTAAATCCCTGACAAAACACAACAGACGGCATGGAGGAAAGATTTTTTTTTCTCTGATACAAAGATGTAAGGACAAGTTGTGTGAATTTTTCGTGAGGTGAGGAAAACAATGGAAGATGAAGCATCCAGAATAATTCCATATGCCAGCATACTTCTAAATATCACCCACTGCATCAAGCCAACTTCATTTTGGCTTGCTAGTTTGAACAATACACATAACATGACTATAAAATTGAAAAAGAAAAAAAACACACAATATGTAATGAAGACTACAGAATTGCATTTGAAACTTTTATCTACAGTTGTCATGGATTCAAAGTTGAAAGAAAATGAGAGTCTGTAGAGTATTTATTTCTGCTTGTGAAATATTTCACTGAAATTGTGACAATTTTAGAACAACACATCCTTACACAAAATTATTCAATGAAAATATGTTAGGCTAATTCTGTTTTGTGGGCTTGACTGATTAGGTAAGGCTGGTTATTAAAGAACCAAGCTGAATTCCTTGCTCCTCCTAAAGTGCCCCATATGAAATCAGGTCAAAGCCATAAAGGAGCTCAAATCATTTAAAGTGTGACTTCAGTTGCTTTTAGATACTTCAGCTGTAATCCTCAAAACCACACTCAGCAGCACACTAGCATTCTAGACACATCAAGTTCATAAGTCACTTCCTTGGGAAACTACAGTTCTGCTCTTGCTTATACCTAGAAGTATCTCAGCCTGGTAAGTACTTAGCTTGTTAGTTTATGTCAAATCCTTTCAAGATACATCCAGCTTGGCATTCTTGTTCCTGACCCAGTGAAGGGCCTAGCAGCAGTGCATACACTGCTCTTCATTTTTGGGAACGTACTGTTCAAAGACCTCTGTTCCATGTGTAACTTCCAAAATAGTGAAAAAAATGAAGCATAAATTCATAGTATCCTTCACACAGTGTAAGTACAATGGGATAAATCTGTGTGCAGGAAGAAATTACAGACACACACTTACAAGCAATCTGTGAGACTACTGAAATACAGAATGCCATTAACTGCAATAGACTTCTAAAAAAGAGAATCATTAGTTTATTAAATTGCAGTCCACAGTCTAGTAGTAGCATATAAAAATATTTAGGTAAACTGAACATCTGTGCTTTTCAAAAGCAAAAGAAAAGAAAATTACTTCTAATAAAGAATACAGCAAGAGCAGAATATTTTCCTGTTGCCTCAAGTTACCAAACAAACAAAAGCACACTCTGACTGTTTTTAACACTCTCACTTCTGGTGTCTGCCTCAAGAAAATAATAGCTAAGATGCGTATATATTTTTCAGATTCTGAATCCTGTTATCATTTTTATAAGGTCACATACTGAACATAAGAAATAGAAATCCCTGTAGAAGAAAAATACTATTGCAAATGTGATGATTCCTATGTATTTCCCCCCCCCCCTAAATTAACTTCTCTTTCTCCTAATACATTACTCTGAAAACATCATTTTTCTTTAGAGTTCTTACTATTTGAATTGCTTGATATTCGATAAACCATACTTAGATATATTTCATCTGATGTTGAAATTCAAATATAGTAAAACATAAGGCTCTGAGCCTTATAAAGCCTTTGACACAAAATATCTTCTTTCTAAAATTAGATGAGCTTTAGGATAACAATCTTCTGCAAAGTTTATTGAAAGCCAAAGAGTGTTTTAGTCTTGTTTCATTTAACCTTATTATTTTTGTTGATTTCTTTTTTATTGCTTCAAAGATGACTCTGCTGTGATAGGACTTCTAGTTTCTGCAAAATCAGTTTGCTAGCCCCATTCTGCAAAACTATGTACATTTTAAAAAGTTTACTCACTAATTCTCAATGAGTTTTTCATTCACAAACAGGAAAGAACTATAGCTTTTCCTGAAAATATGATGGATATTTTTTGGATATTTTTTCTAGTCATATTTCAATTGAACTAAACAAAGAGAAACTCATGAAATATAATGTGTCTGAACACATATTTGTTAACAAAGATATAAGAACATACAGTTCATAAACAAAAAAGAGATAAGCATCAAGAGTTTAGTATTTTTATCTTTTAATGGAGCATTTATTTGATATTTATAGGAGAAAAAAAAAAAAAAGCAATATCTTTATAGAAGGATATGTAATCTTTTCATCTTAAGATGAAGTGTAATGATCTAACATCTTTTACCAACGGTGAAAGAGACAATAGGTATCTGTGCACATCCTATATCCCTTTCAAACTGTAATGAAAAATTACTAAACCTAATTAAACGCTCATTTATTCCCCCACTCCCCATAGCAGTTCTAAACAAACAGAGGTTATTTTTAATGGATGATATAAAGTTACGATCAATACTCATGTAAAATTTAGCATTCGATTTAAAACAGCTTGATACAATGCAAAAAAAAAAGTGAGTAATACATGAAACTCTTCCTCCATGAGTGCTGTTTCACCACAACTATTGCAAAATATTTTAGCTTTATAGGAGTTCACATTAATTTAGAATCCAGTTGCTCTAGAAGCACAGCAAAAATGAAAAATTAGAATCTAGAACTATACCTTTCAGGAGGAAAACTGTTCGCTCATGTCTTCAATGATAAACTTTTAACAAGAGTAGTTGTAAATATACAACGTGTGGACAAGTAATACTGAGCACTGTATGAGTATTACCCTGCAGGTTCTGAAATGATTAATAAGCTGCAGGACTCAGTTTTTATTGCATTAATTATAATTAATCAAATTTGCCTGGCTACAGTGAAAGGCAACCAATAGCTGGCTGGGCACCATTATTTATCAATTTGAGGTGCTAGTTATTTGATTTGCTAGTTTTTTCTGATATCCATCTCATCCAAACTTAGTCAACTAACCATTAGATAGACAACTAATTTAGTCTAAAAGAGTTTTAACTATTTATAGATTTTTTTTTATTTTTTTTTTTTTTTTTTTTGTAATTACTGAAGAGACAAACATCTCTGAAAGCTGATTTTTCTTTTCTGGTTAGATTTTTAATTTAGAATCCTCTGGGATGACTTGCCCTCTGCATGTTTTTGATATATCTGCTGTAGATATTGAGGGGGACCTTAGACATTTATCTCAAACTAGTTTAGATGACTTATATTAGGTGAGATAAATATTGGAGAGTGTTGGAGATCTGCTTTCTAGCAAACTGGATTTGTGAAGCTATTTAAAACACATGTTTTTGTAACACTTTGTCGTGGTAGTATTAAAAATAAAGTGCAGTCTATATAAAGCCCATGTATTTGGTTTATATGGCAAGGTTTTGGTAGGGGAGCGCTGCAGGGGAGGGCCTCTGTGAGAGAAGTCCACAAGCTGCCCCAACGAGCCAACTCCAGATGACTCAAAGCGACCTTCTGCTGGTGAGAGCAAAGCCAGAGAGTGCTGCTAGCTGCGCCACTGTGAAAGCATATTTAGGAAAGGGAAAAAGTGCTGCACTACAGCAGCAAGGAAAAAGGATCGAGAAACAAGAGAAACAGCCCTGCAGACCCCAAGGTGCAGAAAGTCCATGCCCAGAAGGAGAAGTTCCCATGCAGCCTGTAAGGGAGGCCCTCGGTGGAGCAGGTGGATGTGGCCCAGAGGAGGCTACGGCCCATGGAGAGCCCCCACAGGAGCAGGCCCCAGGCCGGAGCTGCAGACCATTGGAGAGGAGCCCACACAGGAGCAGGGGACCTGGGGGAAGCTTTCGCTTGTGGGGGACCCGTGCTGGAGCAGTTTGCTCCTGAAAAGTAGGCAGTGTGGTACAGACCCATATGGGAGCAGTTCTTGAAGAGCTGTAGCCCGTAGGAAGCCCACATACAATCAGTTCAGGAAGGGACCTGCTGGAGCAGGAGAAGAGTAACCATGAAGGAGCAGCAGAGATGAAGTACTATGAACAGACCACAACCCCCATTCCCCTGTGCCACCCAGGGAGGAGAAGGTAGAAGATGGTTCATGAAGGGGAAGGTACTTTTACTTTGCTTTTAGTTTAGTTCTCACTGCTCTAGTCTGTTTTCAGCAGGCAACAAATTACATTAATCTCCCTTATACTGAGTCTGTTTTGCCCATGGTGGCAATTGGTGAGTGGTCTGCCTGTCCTTATCTTAACCTATGAGCTTTTTTCATTGTATTTTCTTCCCCCATCCTTTTGAAGAGGACAGAGAGAGCGGCATGGTGGTGCTTAGCTGCCCGTTGATGTTAAACCATACCTACCATATTAAGACAAAATTGTGTAATTCCAGGCATTTTTTTTCCACTCTTCATACATAAATAAATATAACTTTATAAATACCAGTCCTTTGAAATACCTAGAAAGAAAGAAAAAAAAAAGAAAAAGAAAAAGAAAACAACACAACAAATGAGACAATTAATAAGGGACTTTTAGTCTTGAGTTAGACACTGCATTCGAGATACCTACTCAAGCAGCCACAGAGGGTGTGTGTCAGAAAATATATCCTATAAGTCATTTTAAGGTTAGACAGGGCAAGTCCATTTTATCCTTTCAATATAATGCTATTTCTTCCAATAATGATAGCTATAGCAATTTCTCTCCTCCATTCTGTTATTGAAGGAGGATTAAGATATTTCTAATGTCATAAAAGAACTCTTTGGGAAAGAGTGATGGTTATTAAAAAAGTGCTCTAAAATTAGACAATTCAAAGATGTCAGGATTCATGCCTAACAAACAAGTTTAGCTGGTAATGACTGGGACAGACAGAGCTTATACTGGTCTAGACAGCTCTACAGATGGAAGCAATTTTTTCTGAGGACAAGAAAAAAGAATCATGGAACAAAAATACCAAAGAATATTGACCTTCATCTCTCTGCCAAATTGAGTTAATTGTATTAATACAGTCTAGGCAAGGTTTAACAATAGCTTACAATCCACCTTATTTACCACAGGAAAGACACTGAACAAAAGGGAGGTGTGTTTTCTTTTGTTGTTGGTGGTGTTTTTTTGGTTTGTTTGTTTGTTTGTTTTTTTATGGAAAAAGAGTGAGTTATGTTGGAGGGTTTTGATCTAGCACTTACAATACTGTTTTATAAAAAGGCTACCTGGGTTTGAAACAATATCATACAAAATAAACATATATACTACTTCAGCAAGATGGAAAATGAGGAGTAGAAAACAGCTAATGTAGCAAACTAAGAATCTTTTTGTTGAACAACTGTGAATATGCACCATTACCACTTCTAGTATAAATACAATGCAAAGAAAAAAAATACTTACAAAGAGCAACCAGTTTGTGCTATACAAGTATAATCTTCCATCAATTCTAAGCTAGTCTTCACTTTCAGATAACTGTGGCCTTATGTCATAAATCTATGCTTCCTACCAGTGCTGTGTTTTTGTATCTTGTCTTAAGGGCCAGTTATTACTGGGGTCGGTCAGTTGGTCCCTCTCCCACACTTCTTTCCCAATTTAAATTTCCTCAGACCTGTTCACTAGGTTTTAGCAGTACCATGTCTAAGAGAGCTGCCAAACTGCTTGCTATTAAACCTCAAAAGCGAAAACACATCCTAAGGCAAAGTTGTTTTTCTGTTCTCCAGGAGTTTTCATCATTTGTTCTGAGCACCTTCATATTTCCTTAGATAATGTTTTTAATTACTCCTAACAATAATATATATTTTTTTACATGGGGTATTTATTGTACTGGAAATTCTCATGTGTGAGCTGGGAAGACCATGTTTTTCTGCATGAAGCTATCACTTTTTCCTTTCTCTTCCCTTTTCTTCTTTCTCTTCTTTCTCTTCCTTCCTTCCTTCCTTTAAAGCTAAATAGCTAATTACACTTCCAGGTAGTTGGAATCCTTTCTTGCAGTCATTTTCTTGATCATGGTAGGTTCCAGTTCTGGATTCTGTTTTGTTTTTAAACAGGCTTCTCTTCTGACATAGACTTTTAGAATATAGCATGTATTTGCATTTACAATTCTGATTCACTCTGTGTGCATGTGTTCATAAATTGCTTTCTATTTTCGTGTTCACATGTTGTTCCTTACTGACTTATTCTGTTAAAATTAAGGCTTTTCAGTCTTCCTGAAATTGGATATCATTACCATGACCTAAAAAGTGAGTTGCTTGGTTGTTTCAAACACTGAACAAATGGTATTTGTATGGCTGCAGTGAATGTTGAGGTAAGTCTGATCAGGCTGATTCAGTTTTCATTAATGTAAATCATTGCTTGAAAAACTGCTGAGAAATGTAATTATCTTCTGGAGCCTGGAAGGTGCATCTTCTAAAGGTGAGAATGACAAGGTTGTTGTCAACACAAGTTGAAAACACATTCTGAAGAAAGTACTTCAGCTAAGTACAGGATGTAAAGCCTTTTCCAAGGTTCAAAAGCTAAATAAGAGGATAGAAACATTCTTGTCGTGTCTCCTTCCTAAGATGAAAGTCAATAGTAGACAGACATTCTGTGTGAACAGCTTAGCTTGGTGTGTTAAATAAAGATTCCTACGGCCATTATCAGATGCTAGTTTGCTTTTTGTAAACTCAATTTGATTGTATGAGCATATGAAGGGAGAGTTTCATGGTGTCTCAAGGACAGTGTTCGTGATACCTTTTTAAATACTTTTGCTTAAGCCTAGAAATTTCTAGTGAGGCATGACTTTTGTTGATCTCAGTGTCTTGAACAAGGGCTCAGGATTGGACTCTTCAATAACACTGCTATAATGTTTGGAGCTTCTCTCTGTCCTGCCTCAAGACAGTGTCAATGCAGCATCTCATTGAAGTTTACATTTCTAATAACTTAAATTGCAACTTACCATTAAAAAAATAAAAAGACAACTGATAGTACACAAGCTGTTAATCACAGAAGAACACCTAGATATACACAGGAATTTCTGTTTCATGAGTACTGAATAATAGAACATCAACAGTCACAGTATAAATAAGTGCATAAAGATATTTTATCTTTTATATACAGAAATGCTTCATTCATTCTCCCTCTGTAAGTCTTTTTTTTTTTTAATGATGATACAGTCTTGAATGCATTTTTGTAGCAGTACTGCAGCATACTTGCATGCAGCTTTGTGTGTGTGAGTGTTACAGAAGGAAAACCTCTTAATCTTTTTCAAATGCAGGTTTCTAATACGATGGCTAACAACAGATGGGCTATAAGATTTTGGTGCTTTAAACAAAGGGGAAATTCTACCCAAAACTTCTGTGTTGTGCAGACTGTACAAAGTTTTGGCAGTTTAGCTTTGTTTCATCCTAAGGATCAGTTTACTTTTTTTTGTTTCTTGTTTTTCTTGTTTCTTGTTTTGTTTTTTTGTTTGTTTGTTTTTGTTTTTGTTTGTTTGTTTTCTAATGATCATCTGCAGGCTCTATCTGAACTACAGCCCAGATCAGCAAACCTGACATGATCTAACTTCCGTTGCATCAATTGTCATATGAACTAATGCAGAGCTTACCAAAGTGTTAATCAGATAACTGCATATAGACATTTGAAAAAAAAAGCAACAAAAATATATTAACAAATGTCAGAGCATGCAAATGTGCTTCACTTCCTCTCTAGGTTCATTGACACAAATGCTAACGTTGCTCCCCAAAAAAAGAGTGCAGTACAGCAGAGATTCACTCTAATTCACTAGAAGGAGCCAATTCAGGTTTAATAAACAGATCAGACAAAACAAAGTTGAATATAAGTTATGTACTGCTGTTGCCTGAAATATTTACAGCCTATATTCAAAATTTTCTTTAAATTTATATATATGCTATTTGAAAAGGTTTTTGTATTTACAAAGAAAACAGTACTGCTTACAGTGAAGTACAGTGAAGTACTGCTTACATACTCAGTATGTGAAACAATAAATTTTTCAAGCTGCCACTAGAAGTATGAATAATTATTTACTGGAAATCTATAAAGAGGCAACTTTTAATTGAACTATTCAAGAAACACAACAGTGACTGGATCTATAGTTTTACAGAGATAAGATTTACAAACTTTTCTTAGATCCAATAAAATTGCTTCCTCAACTTAGATAAATACTTACCACAAATAGTGGTAAGTAGACTATGTATAATGTTTCTTCAAAAATCCCAACACGTTTTTACATAGTAGAGATTATACAAATATACTGAAAACCATAAATTCATGCTAACACTTTCTCACTTGTAAAATTTTAGAAATGATACTCTGAAATTTGCAATGCTAATTTGGACTTTCAAAACAAGAGATGATTCAGTAGGAATGTTATTCAGAAAAACAAAAGGCCAAGATTTACCCTCTCCCATCCTTCCTTTGCCAAAGATTTGCTCTGTAAACCCCTTCTGGTAGCAATGGAATCAAAACAAAAATGGAACTATAAACAAAACATGATTATACAAATATACCTAAAAAATGAGGTACTCACAATCCCTTAGAGGTAGTCCATCAATATTTTTGTTTTACCCAGTGAACTGATCCACACCAGCTAAACAGATGGATGGGAGAGTCTGAGGGCAATTAAGCACAGAAAAATTTTGATGGTTTTACAATTTCAGAAACACCTGTGCTGCTTATTGCAATGCATTGTGAATATTCACTGAGTACCAGAGACTGCTCCATAGTCCTCAGGGGCTCTCATTTCCACTTGTGTTGTGGAGTCCTAATGGCTCTTTTGTTCAGTGGTCTGTTAATTATAAAAGAAAAAATTACATGCAATGATGATGTGGAGGTAAACAATAAGAAAAGGAGGATTTCCTCTTCTCATTTAGAAAACAGCTTCAGAAATGAAGGGCTCTAGCTTCTGTTTCTCCTTAGACTACAAAAGGTACCTGGGGAGGAAGACTTCACAGAGGAGAAATATGAAAAATAAAAACAAACAACAAAAAAGTAATGTTAAGCCTTGTTTGAAAATGAAGATTTTGGGGATAGAACAAGCTATTGGATTTAAGGCCAACCTTTCTTTCCTCCCTGCAAACAGAAAATAACAAACCCATCACAACGTTATGTAAAGGAGACATTCAGCTCTGAAGAGACTGTGATGGGGCAAAGTATTTAGATAAAATGAAATTTGCAGAAGCATCCAAGCATTTCTCTGCCTTACCAAACTCATTTTTTCCCTATTCTGGCCCAAGTTCTTCCCTGTGCACAACATACATGTAATGCTGACATAGGCTCTTTGTTTTGACAGAAATAAATTCTGATGGAAAAAATGACCTGCCATGCTTCTCTTCATCTCTCCTGCATGCTATTTTCTTTCCTTCTTAGTACTCATTTGATTCCTTCATGTGTTTTGTTTATCATAGCCCTCCCTTCCACACTGCTTCCTTTTACACTCCCAGCTAGGCTTTCTTAAGCCAACAAACGTCCCCTCAGCATTTTGTCCCACACATTTCTTCCTGTAACTTGATCATATGCAACCTCACAGGGCATTCATACCACATGTTTAATGCTATGCAATCAATTCGGTCTGATTATTCCATTTACTCCTCCTCCACTGAGATCAGTCTACATTACTGCAGAGCACCTCTGTTTCCTTCACAACTTTTTTTTTTTTCCAGCTAAATTGGTATTTACGGTTTGTTTACTACTTTCCAAATAATTACGTGAAATTTGAAACTGTCTAATAAATGGTATATGACATGCTAACAACATAATATTAAAAATTCCTGCAAATCAAACGTTTTGCTTTATAAAACAGTTGTAGAAGTGGACTTGATGATTTTGTCACATTTCCATGTATAATATATGATGAACAGTACTCTCTACATTTAATACAGATTACATTTTTAAAAGAGTTCTAGCGTGTTTACTGAATTGTAGCTTCTTATTCATTACAGTAAATCCACTCGTAAATCCTCTTTCACTAAGCAGTATTAGTTAATCAGTACAAAGGAACATAGCAGCATCATATTTTAAATATTGATGACTGTCAGTGTAAGCAGAGAATAAATTTCTCTGGGGCTCCTGATCTTATGGGGACATCACTGGCTGTAGACCTATCTTAAAAAAGAAAAAGAGTAGGCTGTTTTCAAAACAGTAATAAGCATGGGCTTAATGAATCAGTCAGGACACATACTGGGTCATCAAAATTCCAAACAAAAGCAAGTAGGAAGTAAAACTTAACAAAATGGTGAAAGAAAAATGTTTATAGGAGACTTTTATAAATGTGAACATCAACCATTTAACCAGACATGATATGAAAGACTATGTCTTGCATAGACATTTACTTGGGGCTAGTAGAATGAATTGCATATTTTCCCAAAATTGCTTCCACAATGATTGTTCTTGAGAATTGCACTTTTAAGTATACTGTTACAGATGTAAGAGCCTGGCAAATGATGGAAGTTTTATGCAATCTAAAATTGATAGGTATACATACACACACATTTATATAAATATATATATCTTATTAATATTGATAAGAGCAGCCTATTGCTGATACAAAATTGGCTTTACTTATCAATAACTTATCTCCACTCATGTGAAGCTAGCAAGTCACATACAGTAGGACTGTATGTGGATCGTGCAGTAGTCACAGAAGCAGCTATTATTACATGAGAGAGACATGATTCCAAGGTCTGAGAAGCAGTAGCAAATGAAGAGTAAGAAAACACCTGTCAACTCAATGGGCAGCTCAGTGTAACTCTCTGTACAAGGGTAAAATAGCATTCAGTGCCCAAGCAATGAAATTTCCTTCACAGCAGGCCAGAGCAAACTTCCACAGACAAATCAGCACATCAGCAAAAGGCCTTTCAAGGACTGCTTGTGCTGTGGGACCATTTATAATCTTTCTTTCTCTGCTCTCCTCTTGCAGGGAAGAGTTCTGGCTGGAGGACAAGTCGAATGAAAGCAGGACGCTTCAGAGAGCTCTGTGTTCCATCCAAAATCTGTTCTGCTATGCATTTTCTTTGTTCTTTCATTCATCCTGCTCCCTTTCTCCCCTCAAGGGAGGAGCAACAAGCTGCAAGAACAGATGTTTCTAATTTCATTAGACACTTCATACTGATACACAGAGCTTTACTTCCTTGTTAAGCAGTGACAAGGCTCACTGTATCTCTTAGGAGCAGCATGATTCTCAAGAGGGGCTAATATATACATATAATGGTCCAAAATTGAATTTCATATGTCTATAGTAAAACATAAATAGTATTTTTATACACTAAAGTCAGTGCCAAAGATTACTTGGTAAGAATATGTAGCTAAGTAGCATAATCAAAAAATCTTAAAAAACTAACAACGCTTCCCCCCCCCCAAATTATTTTATGAAATATAGGTGCAAAATCCTGATAGTTTCAGAATACCCCTTACCCGAGCATCTAGATTTTTTTTTCATTTTTATGCATTTTCTGAAATATTAAGTATAAAACAAGTTCAATCCATAGATCCCATTCTTTTCCTAGTATTTATTCACATGCACTTTTATTCCTCTTTATCTCAATTACAGAAATTTTCTAAATAACTAATCCAGAAAAAGACAGAAAAAAAAAAACACAAAACCACATGCATACTAACTTACTAAGAGAACCCAGCTGGAAACATTGTAGTTTAAGAGAGCAAATCCAAAATTAACTTTGTTCTTCCATATGACTTGGTCTATCATGTGATCTAACAGGATTGGATGAACACAGAGGGATTCTGATCCTGGTTATTCAGCCCTGACAAGGAGAACAGTCACCCAGATTTCAAAAGTCTTCTTTAACATGTATGGCTTGTGAAATCACAGTCTTAAAAGCTAGGGAAATCTGCATTTTCTTATAAATCAAGCTTTCTACAGGAGGATATATTTTTTTTTTGTTAATTTTAGATTAAAAAAGAGCTCATTTCTAAATCAGAATAAGTACCTGAAAATGGAGCAGTGAAATCTTACTTGCCTGTTTTGTAGCTTCAGGATGCATTTCTTTTTCATTCTTCCTCTGCAAGGGTGGTATGGATGTGTAGTTCAGCAACTCAGCTGACATGAGTAAAATTTGCAATCACATCTACAAGAATAGGAGAGGAGAAACCACTTACCACTTCTGCAAAAACAGTAGAATGATCAGAATCAGGATAAAAAAAAAAAAAAAAAGTGAGTTAGAATGATTCAATACTGTTAGAATCTTTAGAATCTTCAATATTACAATCTTCAATAACAGAACAGATTTATCCAAAAATTTTGCTAAAACACTGAGCCATGTTATAAGATAACATAATTACTGGAACAGCTATTGAAGAAGGTTATTAGAATACTAATCTAAACTTTTTTTGTAATATTTTGTTTTTCTTATTTTTTTTAATCTAAATTTGTCTAGTTCTAAGAATGAATTCAGATAACAGAATGTATTTTTACTTCACTGACAATATACCCGAATTAAATGGATGAATATTCTAAAAGCTAAATTAAATTTAAAAGAGCCTTGCCAACTGTCTACAAATTGCTATGTGTACATCTCAGAATCTGCAGTAAGCTTTCTAGTATAAATAAAAGTTTTAGTTTAAGGGTTGTTATTGTCAAGCACCAGATTTCAGGGTAAAATCTCTTATGAGAGAAATAATCTGGATACCTTCTTACAAGGAACAATCAACATAGAGACAGAACGCGGTATCAGGTATACCAAAGGGACAAGAATCTTATTAATTGTACATTTAATTCAATCAAAAATTTCAAATTCTGAAACATTTATCTGAACAAGTTAATAATAAGCAATACAAAGAAAAAAGAATATGATAAAGTCTTTCTAAAAATCACACACACAAAAAGCATAGTTTTACCTTGTATTTACTACTTTTTGTATGTCAGAGCAAAGCAAATAGAGTACATTCTGTGGAAAAAAACAACAGTGTGAATGGAACATCTTGAATACAAGAAAAGGCCATTCGGCCTAAAGAGGATTGGCCTTCATAATGCATATGTTCCCTTAGGATGGTGTCTAATTGCTTCCTGAATGACTGCAACGTTTGTTCCAACATCTTTACCCACTAGGCCATTCAAACTATGCATCACAGCCTGAGTGAAGGAAGCATCTTTCTAAGTTCCGAAATTGTCTTTGCTTAGTTTCCATTTAAGCCCTCAGCCCTATTCTTTTCATTGTAGTTACAGTGGTAAAAAGTATTGATTTTATCAACACTACTTAGGATTTTATTTGTGAATTAACTTTTTAGCATATTTTTATTTTCTATCCAACTCTATTGAAATTCATACTGCTATTATTTTCCCTCCAAATTTATCCACCTGTTTGAATAATTAAACAAACTACTGTATTCCTCAGTCACACAGTGTCCTCAGTATACCATCTTCATCCACAGATGTTGCTTGAAAAATAACAAATATTGATTCCACTGTCTGGGATTAAAATAACAAATCAGGTAGTATATTCAGTATACATTTCTCTTGACTGAGTGCCCCTAAAATGAGAACTCTGAAATCACAAGTTTTTAGCAGATATATTACTCCAAGAGAAAGGTGGTACATTTTTCAATCTTCATGGCATAAATTACTTTCTTCTGCATGTGCACATCTTTGTTCAGCTTCTTACTTTATAACTCATTTGTGAAGCTAAGTCTAAACTGGTTAAAACATTACATATATAAGGGAGATACATAAAATTACTTTCTCATATCTGCTGCAGTTGGAAATTTCATGCCCATCTATTGCTAGCCAATCTCCTTTGAAAGACTGCACTTGTAGTAAAGGTGGCTTTACATTTCTACAGCTGCAATAAATTGGTTTTGTCCAAACAATTTTCTACATTTTCAAACTCTTCCTAAACATCCCAAACAACTGCATCCCTGCTTTATCTTTAAAAAAGGAAAAATCTGAGTATTTTGAACTAAAAAGAATTGAATTTTAATCTAAACAGGTGTTTTTTTGAATTATAAAACTGTGAAAGAAAATTTAGAAATGTAATTACATCCAAATTATCCAATTTCATGCCTATTAATACTATGAAGTTGAATTGTTTCTTAATATACTCTGAAGGGCTGTTTTGATGTTCAAATTGCCACTACAGAGAAAATGTGGGTGTTTAGTAAGATACCAAGTGGACTTCTGCTGAGCCTCCAGTATTCACAGTCATCTAGTTATTGTGAATGTAGGGTTTTACAGTAGCTGGCATTTTGTGAAGCGTTTAGATTTCTGACAATATTTCTCAGCTGATGGTATAACATTTCAATGAAAATCATAAAGAAATATATAGAACATATCCACAGGGGGGAGAAAAAAGAAAGAAAGAAAGAAAGAAAGAAAAGTGTAGCATAATTAAAGCCAAGATGCGTATACTTATTTGACAACAGAAAACTGTTCAGATGCAGAAACCTGTGCATCTCTTTGGGAGTCAGACACATCTATAAGCTCAATAACAACTGGAATGACTTATAAATGACAGTGGGTAAATCGTCATAAGTCCTGAATGCAAGTTTGGCCACAAATGTATCCTCTAGTTCTTTAGTTTAAAAAAAAAAAAAAAAAAAAAGAGGATTGAAGAAATAATAATAACTAGACAAAATTTGCTAGTCAACTTGAAAGTCGTAATGAGGACTATGTGACCTTTGGCCATAATCCATTTAACTGTCTTACTAATATTAAATATGCAATCACACACACCACTGGTGCAACCACAATTATCCAAGGTACTAAAGTAAAGTCTGAAGTAAACACTGTCCCTTAAACTGTTACGTTATTAAATTGTTCACTTTCCAAAATCTTAAAATTTTGCATATAAAACACATGACTTTATACCTACAACGCAGAATACTAATATTTTTATTAAAGAAACTAGTCAACTGAAAAGATCCTAAAAGGTAAGCCAAAATCTGCATTCTTAACTGGGAGAACTGCGTTAGGAAAACAAACACCTTGTCCCAGTAATTTAACTTTGTCTTCTTCATTTTCCAAGTCTGGAGGATTGTTCGATTTCTTTTTACCCCAAGAATCTCCATCCAGCTAGGTAAAACGTAAAAGTTTAATTTCTTGTGTTGTAATGTCATAGTTGTACCAAAATTGTTAGCACTGCAGAACCATGGGTTTGGAGCAAATAAGCAGATAGGAAAATAAAGATTTACTGCCCTCTGAGTTAGCAGGTTAAACAGAGCATAATGAGGCATAAAGAGCCACAAACCAAGAAAAAAACACTTGCACATTAAGTGTTTGAAAAGAGTGATACTGTCACTTCTTTTCATAAAGAAGTTAATTCCTAAATTTATATGTTGTTCTCTTACTCAACATGGAATAATCCTGTGTAATTCACTATGAATCCATTTCTGTCATTCATACACAAAATACACTATTCCTTCTCAGCTCCATGAACAGCAGCTATAGCAACAATTTTGGATGTGTAATCCTGATGCTGCTTCTTACATCAGTTTTTCCAATGTGTAAGTTCTCAGGTGACAACCTACTTCTGATTTATAGCTCTGTATGAATTTACTTCTGAATTACACCCATACTGAAATTAGTCACAACCCATGTTCTTACAAAGCGGGTTCCTTTGCTTCATAGTCAGGAAAACAAACATCATGATAACTTCTGGTCAGTACTGCAAGTGCTGCCCTATGAGAATCCCTTGGTGAGCTGGAAATGAAATAAGAAGAGAGACAGAAGTACATACCAGTGTCATCAGCATAGACTTATATCTCCATAATTGTTATTCCATTCCACTGGCAAGGTAAGCCACCATCATTAATATAATTTATAGTATTTGGACTATTTACTCCTGCTATGAGCTACACAGACAGCCCAACACCATCATATATAAAACTAGATTAAAGTTTACCTTGTCTCAACCTGTTTTCTTTTTGCCTTTCCTTTCCTTTCCTCTTGTGTTGTTATTTGTTTTTTTTTGTTTGTTTGTTTTTGGTTTTGTTTTTGTTTTTTTTTCCCTAGGACAAAGAGCTCATAAAATAATGGTTCTCTGATTCTAAGATTCTTAGTGGGTTTTGGAAATCGCTCAGGTACCACTGAACTGAAGGGGAGCTATGCACTTACGTACAATTCCACAGTCACTTAAGAACCTCTACATAATGTGTTTTGAATGGAAACAAGATGTCCAAATACCTTGTATAGCATTAGTTACGTATGCCTACATACCTATCGCTATAGTTATATACCAGTGTAGACATCTTTCATGTTGTAGGCTCTCAACTACATCAAAACAATCTGTTAAAATTTACTCTTCTGTGGCACCTTGGACTATGTGTATTATTTCAAATTTAATTTCTCTGTGTGTTGGGAGGGGGAGGACCTTCATGTGACCTTGACTGAATACAGTATTCATACATTATATGCAAACTGCAACTGGAGAAGTGAGGGTGAAGGCTACTGAACACAATCTTTTCAGTGAATCATAATGACAGAAGCACCTCTCCTGATACATTCTGAGAGCAGAGTGCAGTATTCTCCACATTTCATCTTTTTTTTTTTTTTTTTTTTTTTTACCTGCATGGGAAGGTTTAATGGCTTTACATGACCTACGTTTCAACGAAAAAGAAGCTTCTGAGAAATAAACAAGTAAAGATCTACAGCATATTGTTTTGTAAAAGATAAATTTCATTGAGCTTAGTAGAATTACAGCACTGCGGAGACCAAGGGAATATATTCAAATGTACTGCAGGTTATGTTATAAAAGCTGGAATTAAAATTCTTCAGTGATGAAACTGTTCCTACTTAGTGAATAACAGCTGCTCTAAATTAATCTATATTGATTAAATTTCATCTTGGCTCACAAAAAAAAAACAAAAAAACAAAAAAAAAAACCAACAGCATTTAATTTAGAACATCACTGGAACATCTCAATTGAAACAATTGCAAGATGAAAGCAACCACATGATGTCAGCAAGTATTATCACCCTCCTAAGTCACACTGAACTTAGTCTTCCAGAAACCAGAAGGTTCTCTCTCCATTACTTCCTCTAGTGACTCTTGATACGCTCTGAGCTACGTTTCCAAAGCAAAGTGTATTTTCGGTTTTGCCATCCTAGTGATATACAGCCCACCTAGCCCACTTTT